CTTAATAAACTGTTTTAATGTATAGTATCTCATCTGTGGTAGCTCATTCCGGTGGTTATTGCCAAGGCAAACTACTGCCAAAACTCATGCATGACTTCCGAAGCAACACTGAGGCATGAGGGAAAGCAGAATTGTAGGGCTAGAAGTAAGGAAGATGCCAGGCTTGTGGAAAAATATGTAGTTCTAGGTCAAATATACATATACATATATAAGTTAGATTAGTCAGATATAAGATGACTTCATAGGTTCTGGGATAATTAAAGCCTTGGTTTAAATTGTAGTAGCTAAAAAGTAATCAGAATTTGCTGTTTGAGGGGTTATTTTGGCATTGCCCATCATGATGGAATAATTCATAAATAAGAGTTGTGGGGTAGGTGTGAGGTGGAAATGGTCATATATGGTGGAAAGGATATCTTAGTTGATATCTGAGTAATTAATTATAAAAATAAGACACTGTTACATGTTAATTACATCGAAAAATTGGCTTTCACTATAAAAAGAATTCATATATTCAATAATATCTGAAATTGACAATATTTAATAATCCTTTAATATCTTAAAATTAAATCAATTGACAAGCAAGTCTTTTTTAAACAAAAACCAGGGCTGAAAGCAATGTAAGGTGAAGTATTATATAAGAAAGAAAATACAAGTCATGACCCCTAACTTCAAAGTATTTATAGTCTAGCCATGGAACAAGCCTATTACCCATGAAATAAAAGTGTTCAAAAAAAGAGCACTGGGATGAAGAAATGATAATTGTTACAGAAAATTTAAGCTCCTTTGGAGTAAGAGCCATGTCTTAATCATGTTACTATTGCTGGCCTGAGGGTATGTATTTGGGAGTAGATAATAAATAAGGTAAATCAGAGACCATGAGAGAGGTCTATAGGCTTAGTGTTATAGAAAATAGGAAGCTACTGAATGTTTTGTCAAGAAGAATGAAATAATAAAGGTACTGTTTAAAGAAGGTTGGTGTGGGAGGGCCATGATCTTGTGTAACACTGAGTACAGTGGACAGTAGAGGGATTGAGATCAGAGGCATTGGGAGGTCTGGGCAAGGGTTTGCCTGTACACATTAAGAAAAATGTGGGCACCACATCCATTGTGAAGAAACTACTTCAGAAAATGCTGAAGCATCATAGAGAACATAAAGGAGCCAAAGAAAATGTGTTCTAAGCCTAGATAAAATCATCACTGTGGAGCATCCTATGAGCCAATGGATTGGTAGCATGTTTACTACTCATGCAGATAAGCTCAGTGCAAAGGGGAATCAGCTTCAGAGATTTCACTTCTGAGATGACACAGAGACATTCCAGAACAAATGATTAATTAGGACTTCAAGATATAAGATGAGATAATGAAGAGAATGTATACAAAATAGACCTGTGTATTATATAGGCCTGGAAGTAAAAACCAAAGCCATTAACTGTCTCATTTGTGTACTCATTTAACATATGTTTACTGAGTTCTTTCCATGTTATAGCAATTGTTAGAATAATGGAAACAGAGTTATGAATATAGGAGACAGTACCCTTGCTCTCACAGAATATTCTGATGAAATAACAAACAAATAAAAATATAGCATGCTACATGTTTATAAGTTCTATGGGGAACATTAAATTAGGGTCAGATAAAAGAGTTGTGAATGGAAATGGTGGGGAGGGATTGTTTGCTTATTTTTAAGAGAGATTAGGAAGACTTATCTTAAAAAGTGGAATTTACCATTTGCAAAAGCATGGATGGACCTGGAGAGCATTTTATGCTAAGCAAAATAAGCCAGTCAGAAAAAAGATAAATATCACATGATCTCACTCATTTGTGGAATATAATGAACAACATAAACTGATGAACAAATATAGAGCCAGAGACAAAGAAGCATCGAACAGACCATTCAACCTAAGAGGAAAGGTAGGGGAGGGAGGTAAGAGATCAACCAAAAGACTTATATGCATGCATATGAGCATAACCAATAGACACAGACAGTAAGGAGGTGAGGGCATGTGATGGTGGGGGTGGCCAGGGAGAGGTCAATGTGGGGAAAGGAGACTTATATAATACTTTAAAAAATAGAGAACTTAAATAAATAAATTAAAGGTAATATTTGAACAGATACAAAGCAAATTAAGTAATAAGCCTTACAAATTTCTAGGCATCAAATGAATTATTTTGTACCAGGCAAAGGATAAAACAGTTTTAATGGCCCTATGGAAGAAGTAAGGTGGCCAGAATGACCTGGGGGAAAGAAGAAAATGATGAGGCCAACTGGCTAGCTGGGACCAGTAGGATCAAATGAACCAGTAATTGTTGTTCAGTTTTTACCCTAGGAGTTTTGGAAAGCCAGAGAGGAATTTGAGACAAGAAGTGACATAATGTAACTTATATGTTAATAAGGTCACTTTGGCTGTTGTGTTGAAAATAAAAATTAGAGAGTAAGGATTAATGTGGACACATCAGTTGTGAGGTTATTATAATATACCATGTGTGAGATGATAGCACAAAAGCTACAAAAAGTGAACTGATTCTGGACTGATTTTAAAGATAGAGCTAACAGGTTATTTGATATTTAAGTTTATCTTATAAGAGTAACAACGATGTCAAAGATGACTTTATGAATTTTGACTGAAGCATCTGGAAAATAATATTAGCACATTATAAAATGGAGAAAATTAGGTGTAGGAGAAAATCAGAATCAGTTTAGGATATGTTCAATTTGAGATGTATGTTAGACATATAAGTGAAACTGTCACAATATACAGTACTAGAAAGCAATTTATGAGCCAAGTGAAGGATATATTGCCTCCAAAAAAGAGAGTTATCAATTGGGTTTAAATATTCAGGTAGGAGAAAACTTGAAATGTTAGGGATGAATTTAAGCAATATGACAGCAACTAATGACCTTGATAGCGGGTGAGTAGTTGGGATAAAAGCCTAAATGGAGTTGGTTCAAGAGATAAAGAGAGGGGATAAATTAACAAGTGTAAAGGAGGTAAACAATTCTTGAGAGCAATTTTTATTCTAAACAAGAGAATAGTAATGGAGACATTAGTTAGAGTGAAGTCGAGAGATCTAGAACATGCAAGGCAAAAGAAAATAAGATGACTGAAACATGAAAATACACATTTTTAGTGTTAAAAATGGGAAATTCCAAAGTTAACAGTAATGGAATAGCAGGAGATAAATAAGAATAAAATCATCACTGTGGAGCATCCTATGAGCCAATGGATTGGTAGCATGTTGACGAATGTGAAATACAGCAAGAAGTATGAGCACAAAGAAAAAGGGCATTGTATTTATCAAAAAATGGTTTGCCAGTCCCCCCACAATGGAGGAATCCAAGATTCTTACCCGCCCTCGTTGGCCCTGGCCTCCATTCAAGGATATAAAGTTTTAATTATAGAAGAAAGATAAATACCTGCTTCCAGCTAGCCTAGCCTCCGCTCAAGGAGGCCCTGGAAAAAAAAAAAAAAAAAAAAAAAAAAAAAAGGAGGAGCTGGGAGCTTGGGTCACCAGGGGCATGGCAAGCCTACAAACAGTCATCAGCCCCTCACCCAGGCTGGCAAGGCATCCCAGTGGGAACCCCTACCCTGAAGGGGGTGTGACCAGCCTGAAAACAGCAGTCAGCCCCTCAACCTGGCTGGCCAGGCATCCCAGCAGGGACCCCCAGCCTGATCTGGGACACCGTTCAGGGCAAACCAGTCAGCTCCCACCCATGTACCAGGCCTCTATCTATAATAAAAGGGTAATATACTAATTAGACTGGAAGACCTTCTAGGAGACCTTTTGGATGTTTTTCTGAACAAAACCATGGTGGCAGGGCTGAAGTAGAGGTGGTTAGAGGCCAAGAGGAGATGGCAGTTGTGGGTGATCAGGCTGGAGGGGGCAGGACCATTGTGGGTAAGCAGACCAGCAGGGGGGCCAGTTGGGGGCAAGCAGGCCATCAGTGGGGGTCAGTTGGAGATGATAAGGATAGGAGGGGGGCAGATTGGAGTGAGCAGGCCAGCAGGGGGGCAGTTGGGGGCAAGCAGGCCAGTGGGGAGGGAAGGTGGGGCAAACAGACCTGTAGGGGGGGCAATTGGGGTGAGCAGGCTGGCAGGTGAGGCAGTTGAGGATGAGCACACTGGCACAGGTGGCAGTTGACGGTGATCAGGCTGGCAAGGGTGGGGGCATTTGGGGGTGAGCAGGCTGGCAAGCAGAGTAGTTAAGGGCAATCAGGCAGGCAGGCAGGTGAGCAGTTGGGAGCCAGCAGTCCCAGATTGCGAGAGGGATGTCCAACTGCTGGTTTAGGCCCAATCCATGTAAACTGGCAGTAGAATATCCTTCAAGGAATCCCAGATTGGAGAGGATGCAGTCCGGGATGAGGAACACCCCCACACACACCCCCATGCATGAATTTTCTGTACCAGACCACTAGTTTGGACAATAAATAAAAGTGAAAAACAAAAACCTACTCTGGTAGACATAGAATCTAATAGTAAGAGATGAATTTTTCTTTAAAAATTTTTTAAAATGTGCCAGAGGCCCCCAATATCGTTGATTCCTATAATTCAAAGCCTTGTGTAATTCTTTCACCTTAAGTGTAGACTCCATTTAATAAGCTGCTTCTGACCAAAAGAATGTGGCAAAATTGATGGGATTTAATTTCCACCATTAGATTACAAAAGATTTTGACTTCCATCTTGTTAGTAGACTCTTTTGCCTGCTCAGCTAGCTGTGTGCTTTGAAAAAGCACATGTGACAGGTAACTGAGAGTGTCTGACCAACGGCCCTGGAGGAACTGAACCCTGCCAATAACCATGTACCTGAGTCAAGACCCCAATTCTGGCTCAAATTCTGATTGTAAGCTTTTGAGATATACTGTGTTGGGGGACTCTGCTAGGTTCTTGACTTACTAAAACATGAGGTAATAATGAGTGCTGTTTTAAGTTGCTGAGAATTAGGGTAATTCACTTTGCAGCAGTAGTTAAAGAATACAGTCTTTGAGTGAAGGGATCACTTACCAATTGTTCCAATGGAGGAATAATATCTTTCAAGACATGCTGTGAATGATTCCTTCTGTGTCGGGGTATCTGCAAAAGTATTGACATTTGATGCTATTATTATTTTTTTTTCTTTTAAAAAGCTACAAATTATTTCAAAGAATATAAATTAGTGGGTGTACGTGAAAACAATCATATTCAGATTCATTCAAGAAGATGAATAAATTAAATATAAAATAAGAAGTAAATCTTTGAGACTGATTAATTTGAATAAAATATGTAATCAAAGATGGTTAGCTGTAATATCTCATATTTCACATTATTTTTCTACCATGTAACTTCCTACAAATTGTGGGGTCTATGTTCTTCATTTTGAACCTAAGAAGACCTCTATGTCCTGAGGTTTAGGAGAAAAAAATGATATTTATTAATGTTAAAATATTTGTCAATAGCTATTTAAGTATATGAAATATGGAGGGGGAAAAAACACCCACAAACATAATAAGTGCATGACTGAAGTTTGGTAAACAAATTTTAATGAGAAGAAATTGAAACCAAAAATAACCAGTTATTTAGCACACACATTTTACCCTTGAAGGAAATCATTAGTTCCATGGTATAAACAAAATTCAAAGTGATAAATGATATGATAATATTGTCTGCTATCATTTATTGAGTACTTATTATTTGCCAGACACTATTCTAATTGTTTTGCATTAATTAATATATATAATTCTCATACAAACCTTAAGAGGTCATTTATATTACCCTCTTTTCATAATTGTTAGAAACACAGACACAAATGGTTTTAAGTAACTCTAAAAAATGAAAAATAAAAACACAGCTAGTGATAAATCTGGGTAATATTTTAACACAGATCTAAGGCCTTAATAGGGTGCAATATTTGATTGCAATTTACTATTTCTCCAACAATACCAATGTATATGTATAAAGACAGGCATTAAATGCTTAAGGAACTACAAAGTTGAAATCCCTGTGTGCTGGGATGTGAAAGAGGAATTTAAAGAGTGTCAAACTTATAAATTTGTACATAGTTACACAGGAAGCTAGAAATCAGGTTTCAAATCTGTTATAAATCATCTTAATTATAATCATCTTAATCCTTTAGGGGAAGTAAAATTGCTGATAATTCCTAAATCAATAAGCTAGCCAATCGATCATGTTCAACTAGGTTATGAAGATGGGGGGTGGAGCATGGGAGAAATTTCATCACCTGTCGTTTGCTTTACTGCTCTTCTCAGTTAAGCATTGGGCACAGAAATCTGTTATTATCTCAAATCAGATTATGCTGACTGAGACTTATGATTTAGGAAATTTTTGATCCAAATTGTTCAGTTGTCTTGCATAGATATCAGAAAAATTAGGATGTTTTAAGAGAGCTGTCTGTACATGATGATATACTTAATTGAATATAAAGAAACTTGAAGTCTGAATCAAAGAATATATGTATATGTATGAAAATATTATAGAATTTATATATTTAGAAATAATTTATTACTGCTATATGGTAATTTTGCAAATTATTATGTGGCACATTCTTGAGAAACATTCCAACTTAAGACATTAGGTGTCCTTATAGATCATTCAATTTAGCCAGTCAATACTTCATTTATGGTATACTCATTTGCTGGTCATTTTTAATAGTAGGTATTCAAATGTACTTCCTTTGTTAAAATTATAAAACATTTCTATTGTTAGTATTACAAAGAGAGTACTTTATTTTGGATGGTCCTAAGTTTTTCTCCAGAATTTCATAACTTCTAAATGTATTTGATATAAAAAAAAAACCTATATTTTGTTCTGCAAATTTCTTCTGGGTAAGTTAAAGAATATGGGCAGAAGCACGATCCATTGTGTGATCTTAGATGCTTTTCATTTTTGTAGGAATCATTAATTAATCCCTGAATTTGGAAAGCTTGAATAACAGTAATAATATAGTAGTAGCTTGATATAACTTTATTTAAATACATTATTTTCTCCTTGAATTCCAGAAGCATTTCTTCTGAGGAAGCCTGACAATATGGTTTTTGTTTTCTTTTTTGTTTACAAATGTTTGAAATAGTATACAGATCCTTCCTCTAAACATAAGTAGACATGTACTTATATCTACCACATATTTGTGTTCACAGCCTATTTTTTTCCTAATTCTTATACTCAAATTATAAAATGTTGGTTTCAACATTATTTCCAAGTTCCTATTTGAGAGTTTCCAGTTCTTTAACAAAAATAAGCCTTAATAATTTAAATTTTCTCTCTTTAGAGGTAACATGGTTATGTCTTAAACTGCTTTTCTGTAACAGTGTTCTGCCTCTTAAGTAATTGAATTTCCATAATAAGTACTTGAGGGGATAACAACCCTTCCTTTTCAGGTGAAAAAAAAAAATGTCAGACCTCATCTTCTTTTTCTTTTTAATGATGCTATCTTCCTACTGATTTATTGAGTCCAATAAATAGAAATGATTTGTAAGCTATCATGGGGGGGGGAGGGATCAAATACAAATGTCTTATAATTTGGCTTTTAAAAATGTATATATTTTACTTATTTTCTAAAATATATTTTTATTGATATCAGAGAGGAAGGAAGAGGGAGAAAGAGAAACATGAAACATCAATAATGAGAGAGAATCATCACTGGGCTGTCTCCTGCTCAGGCCTCCCTGGGGATTGAGCACACAACCAGGGCGAGTGCCCTTGACAGGAATCAAACCCAGGACACTTCAGTCCATAAGCCAACACTATCTACTGAGCCAAATCTGCTAGGGCTGATTTGGCTTTTTGAACCCAATATCAGATTAACATATCACTGCAAAACTTTTAGATCAAATCTATGAGCTTTTCCTACTTTATTATCACCCACCACTCTTCCTCCTTCTATTTCCCTCCTCATTCCCAAGTACTTTAGCTTTGTAATTGTGCAAAGCAAAGCAGGAAAATGGAGTACTCAGAGTGTTCAATGCATATTTTCCTTTAAGTTCCTTTTTGCTCTTATTATAATATGCATGATAATTAAGTTTTTTCAAATATCTTTTCTTTCAAAAAAAAATTAAAAAGTCACTTTTTCAACGTATCTTCAGTTTTTTCTTCCATTCCTTTTTCATTTTTATCTATTTAAAGGAAATGAAACTGATGGGTGGAAATAGTACTTGATACATTAAAAGCTGTAAAAATAACATAATTTGGGCATTTGATTTTTCTGGTGTAGGAGGGTCTACTGTGAAAGTTATATATAAACATGAAACATTCCACATAGCTCTGTTTAAATAGATTATCATTTTTTATGAAAGTTTATATCTTGTGGCTTAGAATTGAAATAAAATCACTTGAATAAAAGCATTAGTTTGTTCCAACATTTTCATAGACACATACATTTTCTGAGGCTTACTTCCCATTACCAACCTCCCTGGATACTTCGATAAAAAACAGACATAAATTTGTAGCTAAGTTTAGTTTTTATCTTTATGGTTCTCAAATTTTCTGCCTCTCTCTCTCTCTCTCTCTCTCTCTCTCTCTCTCTCTCTCTCTCTCTCTCTCTTATTGTATCCCAGTTCTATTGTTCAAATCTTCATTTGCTTTGCAAAATTATATTTCTTAAAGCTATCACAATCAAAAATTAAGAGAGGTCAGTGAAGTTTTTGTTTGTTTGTTTTATGTGGAAACATGGCCAAAATTTTTTATATTCATAACAATTTAGTTGTTTAGAAATAATAATCATAAACCTTAAGTGCTAGCTTTATTTTAAAAATTGTGTTTATGTGGGAGGTAACTGCTATTGAGAGAAACAAATTAAGATATGAGGACATTATCTTATGTTTTTCATCTCTGTCTTATCTGTTTGTAGACACTGTAAAGTCATCCATGTCTCACAATTACTCTACCACTAACTAAATGTATCTTTCATAGTCCTAATGGAGATAAAGATATAAATCATAAAAATCCAAATTCTTCTGTTTTATTCCATGTTAATGTACCACACATATAATGTTTAAGATTTATATTCTACTCCTTCCTCTGCCCACAATATCATCCAATTGCCATAGCGGGCATCCAATGCAAATACCCCTCTTTTTTATTTTTTGGCTTTTCCATAAACCTCTTTCAGTTGTATGTTGTCAATCAGAAATCTGATACTCTCTTTTAGCTCTTTTATCCCCTGCAGAAAATGAAAAGAAAATATCTGGAATCCTCCTGGGGGACATATTAAAGTTTATTAACTTTTTTTTTTTTTTTTGAATACTCTTTGGTCAGTGTCTGAGTCACCTGTAGTGTTCACCAGTCTTTCAATCCTTAGGAAATCTAGTTGACTTATATTCAGCTTTAACCACATTTTCTCATCTTTCAAATAGACAAAGGGAAAACACTTGCTGGAATTATTTTAACTCCTGGATAATTTTCCCTTGCTTTATTTAGTCCCAACCACTGTGGTCTTCTAAGAAGAAAATTAAACTGCCACATAACTTCCTCTTTAAAGAAAAAATAATTGTGTACTATGCATACTTCCTTATTTATTGCTAAATACTATTTCCTTTAGTTCTCCCCATCCCCCACTCTTTCTCCCATGTTTTTTGTAGAATATTTCTTTCTAAGACAGTCTTCTCAGACTAAAAGTGTTATTTATATGGAATTTATATGAAGTACATTTATATATTGTCTTAATTTTTTAATTTATTTTCTTCTTTCTCTGTATGTTAATTTATATTTAGTTATATATTTATAAACTGATATAACAATAAGCACAAGGCCAACATAGACCCATAAACATTTTATTCTACTTATTATGTTATTCATGGTATTATAACTAAGATAGCATGTAATTTGTTAGATCTATAGCAAAAGCTACTAAAATTATCAGTTGAAATAGTATATTCATCTCTTTTATGCTTTACAACAGAGATATTTCCTCTGTTGAAAAAAAAATAGTTTAGAGACTAGATAGTAAAAAAATAACACTCGTGCCAAATTGACATTTCCTCCACAACTGAAAGTCATATGTTATTTTTTAAATAAAAGATTTAAGACAATTAGTTTTACAATTATTTATTATACAAAAAGCACAGGCACCGAAGAACAAA